GCTGATATAACTTTGTTTTTTCCTTATAATCTCTCACATTGTCTACTTAGTGTGCCTAAAAACTTTTAGTTATCTTTTCCATGGGTTTCCCTTTTTTTTTTTTCACGTTTTATTCTCACTACTATCAGCTACTTCTATCTGTTTGGTTACTCTTCCCTGTTAAGAATTTTCATATCTTTTCTCTTAAAAATATATGTATATCTTTACCCTATTTTATACTTAAAAACGCAAAGAAATAGGGGCGTCTCAGTGGCTCAGTCAGTTAAGCGTCCGACTTCGGCTCAAGTCATGATCTCACTGTTCAGGGGTTCAATCCCCACATCGGGCTCTGTGCTGACAGCTCACAAAGCTGTCTGGAACTTGCTTCAGAGTCTGTGTCTCCCTCTCTCTCTGCCCCTCCCCACTCATACTCTCTGTTTCTCTCTCTCTCTCTCTCTCTCAAGAATAAACATTTAAAAATTTTCAAAAAAAGGGGCACCTGGGTGGCTGGCTCAGTTGGTTAAATGTCTGACTCTTGATTTTGGCTCAGGTCATAATCTCATGTTTCATGGGACTGAGCCCCATGTCAGGCTCTGCATTGACAGCATGGAGCCTGCATGAGATTCTCTCTCTTCCTCTCTCTCTCTCTCTCTCTCTCTCCCAAAAATAAACAAATAAACCAAAAAAATACGAAGAAATAAATACATTAATTTTCACATGTTCTCAAATATAAGACTTATGGATAGAGACTGGTGTGAACTTACCACTTCTGTGAATTCATTACTTCCCAAATCCAATCTTTCCAGTTGGGTCAGTCTATTCATGGTTCTATGTACAAGGGATTAATGAAGAATTAAGTATACAAAAATATCAATTACCTGGAAGCTTTCAAAATTAATGTGTTAAATGTTCTTATGTAATACCTTATGTATAGGCTTTCACATATTGAGAAAATAAAAACAGTTTCTCAGAAAAGTCATCTATAATTAATTTCTAAACAAAGCAAGTTTTAAATTATTCTCTAATTTTGGCTTCTCACCAGGTTTTCATTTCTATTCATAAGTAACTGCAGTAAGTTTAAACCCTGTAGACCAGAATGTGAGTAGCTGGCTTTCATTTTTTTCACACAAAAAATTTTCATATAAGTCAACTAATAAATTAGACTGGCAGCTACATAGTTATTATTATCTTCTTTCAAGCCTTGTCATATATTTATAAACCTTCAATAGAGCTGATTCTGAAAATTAATACTCAAAATTCTAAGAACAGTAAATATGACATTTCTCCCCATATTTTCAAATTAAATTCAATACAACTTAAAATAAAGTTTTATAAGAATCACAAATATGAGTAGCTGAAATTTATTTTATTTTTTTTGCCTTTTTTTTTAAATTTTATATATGAAATTTATTGTCAAATTGGTTTCCATACAACACCCAGTGCTCATCCCAAAAGGTGCCCTCCTCAATACCCATCACCCACCCTCTCCTCCCTCCTACCCCCCATCAACCCTCAGTTTGTTCTCAGTTTTTTTTCAACGTATTTATTTATTTTTGGGACAGAGAGAGAC